ATAAATTGCATTGCTCACGAATAAAATATACAGTAATATATTACCAAAATTTAATATTACATTTTGGTAATATATTTTATCAACTAATACAATTCTTATTTATACTCAAATAAGTTAGATGTTTTTTATGAACTTTCACTGGTGCATTCCTTTAATTACTAACAAGATTCTCTATTGTATTCAACCTTTTAAATATATTTAAGGATTAGCAATAGCTTATATACAGTACGAGTAGTAGCTTTCTAATTTAGCAAGTTCTAATTTGTATGATACCTATTGTTTAAAACTATTAGAAAATTTTTGATCCAATTAGTGGAGGAATTGAACATTAGTAGTACACTACGGTATAATTGTTATTAAAATTAAGAGCTAATTCAAATTGTCTGTTATCATGATAATTTGGTGGCGGAGGTGCTCGCGAAGTCCTACCACTGAACCACTCAAAGCACACGTAGCGTAGGACTTCGTGAGCACCTCTGTCATCATCTGATACCTGATATCATATTTACTATATAATGCAATTCTTGGTGTAATACAATACTGTTATTTAAACAATAATTTTTCAATTCAACTAAAACATTTTATTACACAAAATAGTGATAAAATTGCAATTAAATAATTAATTTTATTCAAGTAAAAACTGAACAATGATATAATATATTTGAAATATTTATATGTATATTACAAACGGCCAGACCTTTACTGTAATACCGAAGCATACGATTGGAAGAAAGAAATAAAGTAAGAATTATTTCAATGGCACTAAAAAACATTTAAATAGATTTTTAAATACGAAATATATATTTATATACAATACATAGATATTATACATATATTTATTAAAAGTAATTCAAATCAAAATATCAATCATTCGTATTTAACCCAATCTTTAGACTCTTCATCGCTGACGGGAATGTCAGTCTTCTCCCAGTCATCGCTTCCCGTCTCAGACTTTTGCGTATCACTCGAGTCGGCCGTAGATTTCATGTCTGAGCACTCGTTGCTGGACATCGAGAGTAACTCATCTTTCATTTGTTGCGATTCAAAGACAGAACTGTTTTCTTCTAAAAGCCTTATTTCGACCGATTCTTTGCTGTTGTCTTTGCGGACCACCTCTTCATGAGATGACTCTTTCAATTCGTTGCCTTTGTCTTCAATTTTCTTGCGCTCGCTTTCCCTCAACTGATGGACTCTATAGTAAAATCTGTGCCAAAACTCCACATCAGATAACGAATTGGGAACCAATTGGGTGTAGAACTCCTTCATCTGAGGAACGGTCTGCAGCAAGTGATCCATTTGTCTTTGATAGTCGATCAGATTGAATGTCATTAACCAACTCTCGTAGTGCTCGGGCGCACCCGTCGGCTCACGACAGTACGTGTTGGCGTCCGTCTGCACTTCGCTCAGCAATTCCTGCCACTTGTCGATCGCAACCAATTTGTCACCACTTAAGACATACATCTGGTCCTCGTCTTCGTAATAGTTTCTGTTTATAAGGAATGCGTCCGCAATAGTGCCCATCAATCCATTCAACTTATGTTTGGCTCTATTGGTTAAGTTTGCGGTCCATTCGTCCCAATCCGAGCTCTTCTCCTCATCCTCTCCCTCTTCAGTTGGCTTATCACCGCTTATGTCATCCTTGGATTCGTTGACCCCTTTGGGGACATCGGTTGGCGTGTCATTAGATGTCTGTTGACCGCCATTGTTGTCATAATCTGGAGCCACACTATGACTGATGCCAGAGATGGTGTCTTTCATGGTTTGGCTCACATATGAGGCCGTGTTTGACACCACTTCCAGACCATCCGTTTGAACGGTTTCTTTAAATTCATTCAAATCCTTCTTAATCGACTCAAAAGTATCGGTCGACTAATCATTAATCAAATATCGAAATCAATCCAAAATCACATCCAAAACATAATCCAAACAAACCTTTTGAACCCAAGAGCTCCACCACGAAGTCG